CTTTTGAGGCTGAGTCTTTCTCTACTCCCTCAAAGGGGCAAATCCAAAACATCTTACAACTCCAGGGAGGGCAACTTTGGGAAGTTTGGGGACCAATTCCCTCTGCTGCAGGCTTCATTGCTACCACCAAATGCTGGGAGTAATGGGAGGATTATGGTTCCTGGTATAGCCTCCCAGGGATAATAAGATTGCAACCTAATGATGATTTAACACAGCTCTCAAGAACAATCAATACGACGCCTTAGTTTATATAAACATCTTGGGCTCTTACCTCTTCTATGTAGCAATTAATAAAGTATGAGATTGCAGGCTGGAGAACTTTAGCTAAGCATCCATGCTTATTTCTTTTAAATATTTATATACTGCTCATCACTTACACCAGTTCCAGAGTGGATCACACAATATTACAAAAGACTGCACTTACAGTATTCACACTTTGAAGAATTATGGAATGCAGTGGCTGGAAGGACACTTTCACAAGGGCAGGATGAGGTTGTTATATTTCCAGTAGATATACTCCAACAAGTGAACAAAGCTAACTATGATGAAGTGTCACTTGAAGTAATTAGCTAAGGACAGCACAAAGGAGTGGAATGACAATACAGCTCGCTAAAGCCTGCATAACACAACTGGCTAGTATATGAATTTATCTCATCTATTCCAAAAGAAGAGAAATTGCAATGAAAATCAAGGATTTGTGACAATCTTCCACATATTTCTGACAATAAAATTAGTTTTTTCCTAAGCCTGGCCTAGACTATGCATTGCTCTCTCAGGCTTTTAACACTTTATTTAGGTTACTGGGAAACTGGGGGGGGGGGGGTAGGAGTACCTTGGTGGAGAATAAACTACCAATTGAATTAGCTGCAACAGATTCCTACCAATGTTTAAAAACGGGGTTGTTGTTTTTTTAAAAATCTAATCACCTGTTTTGGTGTGGTACAGCGTGAATGATCAGTTCCTGAAGGCGCCCAGCACACATTAATGTGATTTACAAATGGTAGCAGACAAGAAGTATCTTGTCTTGATACTGAGAAAGATGGCATTGTCCGACAACATTAATGTTATTATAGGGAAACTACAATGAATCCCATGCAACAAAGGACTGTTTTTCTTTTTGTTTTTTCCACCATAAAGTTAGGCATCTGAAGAAATTGTTAGATGTTAATGTTCATAAGACTGATTAGTTTTATTGCAGAAAACTAACATGGCTATGCTTCTTTAGTGTGTTTAAGAAAATTATAGTTTAGGGATTTATAAGTTCTGCTATCTCTTAGAGGTGAAAAGTACATTTAAGGCTTGCAGCTTGTGTATCTAGGGAGGGGTTTGGCTGAGCAAATGTAACGCTTGTAGTCTGTTGCCACCTGCTGGCCTGTATTTGCTTAAAAAGAGTACGCAGTAGAAGAAAGTGCTCCGTCTGAAGAACAACAAAACAAAATCAGGGGACAGCCCACATCATTTTCACAGGTGGGTGGGGAGAGAAGAGGACCAGGCAGGGCTTTCGGGGAAACAAACAAGACTTTTTACCTCAATCTCGAGTTTCAACAGAGAGCAAAGAAAGGGAATGGGGAACGAAATCTGCCTGGTTGAACCCAAAAGCTTTTTCTCTCACCCACTTCCTTATAGGAAGGGGAAATTTTAAAAAAAGAATCATTTCTAAATGTGTAACATGTGCCTGTTATTCTCACACAAAATACAGGAAGATTTTAAAAACTGACGGAAATGAATTTCACATGACATTTCTGCCTTTCACACATGCACATAAACAGCAGGACTGCAATCAGAATAACTGCAATCCTGTATGAATTTACTCAGAAGCCTCTACCTAATGCACTAGCGCTTCCTTTCAGGTATGTATGTAGGATCACAGTCTGAAACTATAATCCTGGGCGCAGTTACAGAAATCACAGGATCTTACTTGGAGAAAACACGTTTAATGTAGTTGCAGTGTACGGCTACGCAATTACTTTGTTACTCCCCACAGAACAAAATGAAAGTATGTATGTACCTCCAAGTTACAGGACTGGTGGAGTAAAAAGGCACCAGGTGCATCTATATGAATTACCTGAGCGATAAAACACACAAGACACTGCCTCAAGTATTTTAGCACTCAGCAAGCAATGGAATACTGAACAGAATTACACTTTATAAATCACAGCACCGGCTTTATTGTAAAGCATTTTTTTAAAAAACCGAATAATTCCTGATTATTGGAATAACCACCAGCAGATTAAAGCTGAGAAGCCAGCTTGCTTCTATATGTTTTAGCAAAAGTCTTGCGTTTACCCCGCGTTTTTGTCAGTAACTCTTTACTAGCAATTAGTTAAGATCACAGTCTAGTCGAAGTTGAGTATTTTTCACATGCACATTAACTTCCTTCATTGAAATCAAGAGGCCTTTAAAGCAATGCACTTTTGGACGTGGATACCCCCCTCCCCTTTGTGGTTCGCTTTTTAAGTTTAATTGAGATTCCTGACAAATGGTTCTGCGTGCTTAAGCTGTAGCACGCCCTCGCTGCCAAATAACGACTAGTAGTAACTCTCTAGCGGGCGCAGGGCTTGCAAACGAACAAGGCAGGAAGGAAAATAAAAGGCTTTCGCTCCCGGAACGCCCAACATGGCGAACCAACAGCCGACCTTCCGAATATTTGATTTCTGACCCTCTTCCCATGCACCTTTTCACTAATCCCGCCCCTTCCGGCGAGATGCAGCCCGTTGTTTGGATGGACACCGGATGTGGCTCCATAGTCCGGGAATTTTAAACCTTGGCAGTAGGAAGGGACGTTGCCGTTTCCCTTTGGTCGGTGGTCGAATATGCTCGTTTCTTTATGCGCTAATTAAGGTCACGACAGCTCTTTATATCTCTATTCGGGACTAAGTGCTACGTATTCTTAGGTAAGTTCGTGTTCGCGCCTCTAGAATTTCAAGCTTCAAGTGTGTAACTGCGATAGATAAATAAGTCGATAGATATGCCCACTATTATGTGTATAGTACCTCATGTAATGTGGTGCGTGGAAATGGTTGTAAACAATTACGATTTTTCAGCCGTTATCTCCTTTTTCAGCCGGTCAATCAAAACTCGAGCTTCTTAATTGGGAAGTGCTGAGTTTTAGAAGCCTATGTATTGTTAGACAGGCATCTTCATATGGACTAGAAACTTCTTTCTGAAGAAAACCAAACAAACTTCAGATTCATAGGAAGCTGAATTCTGCAGATTGGGGAGTTGTAGGACTTTTTTTCTGTCTAAGCATATTAGTGGATTGTGCCTTAAAATAGGCTTGTTCTAGAAATGTTCTTCCTTTATCTTGGAGATAAGTTTGTTGTGAAATGCCATCAAGTCACCTCCAACTTTCAGCGACCCTATGACTGCCTGCCTTCTGAACATCTTTCACAGTCCTGCTCAGCTCTGTAAACATAAGACTGGGGCTTCCTTTATGGTATTGAGTCATTTCCTAATTGATCTTCCTCTTCTGTCTTCAACTTTCTCTGGTCTAATTAACTTCTCTAATGAGCCTTGCATTCTTGATGTGCCCAAAGTACAGCAGGTTCATCACTTTTGCTGCCAGAATGAAGTTTCTTGGTGATGAAGAGAAATAAGTGCGTCTGAGCATGTCTAGAACACTTTTAGCTCACCATGGCAGTATCTATTTCTTGTTTTCTGTATAAATTGACTTGCCTCTATGCAGCCCCAAGCAAAAATATTTCTACCTGTAGAAATTGAGCACTGTATCTTGGGAAAGTAACTTTTAAAAAGTTGCATGAAAATTACTCTCCTGGTGTTTAAAATATTATCTATGTTGATGCTGTACCTATGTGGCCAGTATCTTTTAACTTACATAATTACCAAATGAAGAAAACAGCTGAAGTGAGAGACTAACATAAATGCCTACATGTAATCATTGTGATTATTATAGCTTTGGTTCATTTTTTCACTGTTCAGTCTTCAGCACACTTCAAAAGTATTTATTCTGAATGGTATGGTTCTATTTCTATGGCTGTAGTGAGGATTTAGAAAGTCTGAGTATAAAATTAGCTGATTAGATGAATAAACTTGGCTAGTGAAAACAAACCACTGTTGCTAGAGAGTTCAATATGAAATGTGTGGTATAAAAGTTTATTAGATGTTAAACTTAGTTGCTGGCAATAACAACTTCAGAGTTAAATATTCTGTATTTTGGCCCTGACTTTTTAAAGCTCCATTCTTACCCATTGCTAGAAGAGAGCCCCGAAGAGCTTCTCCAAAACTGACTAAGAGAGTTTCTACCCTTAATCTTAGCATTTTGGGGGCTGGCAGAACTGTTGGGAGAAACCATGCAGGGATACCAGTGGCCTTCCTTGGCAAGTAGTCCATCAGTATTGGGACATGGAGAAGCCAATGTGCTGTTGGCTGCCTGTTCTACTGGTGATGGTGTTGCAGCTACGTTAGCTTTTCTGGGTATGAAACATTCAAAGATGAACATACCTGCCTTTGTTATGAGGTTTTACTGTCATCTTATCCAAAGCAGATTTGCTTTCACAAATAAGGGTCAGTGGGAGAGGGTTGGTGACAGTAGGTAGGGCTCTACTGAGATGTCATTGAGACCTGGGCAGGGCTATACCATATGAGGTAGGTGTGCCCATTATCAGAAGGCAGTCTTGCCTATGGTGCTGACTTTGATTTCACAGGGCACTGTGGGTTGGGCATCAGCTGTAAAAGCAAGTTCCAGTCTTGCCAAGAACCTACAGAGCCTTTCTTCCCATTCCTGCTTGTAGCTGTCTGATTTCCCCTTTGTTCTGACTAGCTGCATTTTCACGCAGATTAAATAATAGGTTTACTTTTTCATGTTTAAAAACTTAATGTATTTTAGTAGATATTAAGTGACTGTGGAATTGGCAATGGTTTGAACTGTGTGTGAAGCAATATTAATTTTGCTGTTACCTTACTTCAAAATGAACCTATTGCCATAAATGATCAATTTATATTCTGCCAGGCACCTGAAAGAGAAATTCTTGAATTTCAAGATGGCTGTGGATGACTATGAAGAGCTTCTTAAGTATTATGAAATACAAGAAACTGTTGGATCAGGTATGCTACTTGGCATGTCCAGTCAAAGTAGTGAGAAGAGCAATCTTGTGGTTTCTGTACAGGGTCTAAGGGGCCAAAGAATACTCTGAATTCCCAGATATATGGTCAGAATCAAAGGGAATCCCAACTCCAGCCCCCCCCCCCCCCCCGCAGCCACCGTGGAATGAAAAGTGTCAAATGCCTTTCTAAAGTCAGGAGATCAGCTTCAAAAAAAGGCTCAAGGCCCCAAATGTCCTTCCATGTGCCTCCAAAGTGCTCCAGCTAGATTTGGCACTGGTGGCCTATCTGAAATGGAGAGCTAGAAGTTTAGGGAGACAGACATGGAGACTTCTGCTGCTTCCACCACTGCTGCTGCCCTGCACTGAATGCTTCTAAGCCTCTGAGTTCAGGGGACTTACAAACACTGAGAGCACAATAGATAGGAAACCAAAACTTCACAGCAAGACATCACATGCAAAATAAAGAGCTTTTAAAAGTTAGATTTGTGTCTTGCTTTCTGACAAGATCCCCCAAAGTAGCTTACAGCAGTTTCCTGTGATGGAGAGAAAATTAAGGGGTTGCCTTTTTTCCAGCCAGTTGTTTCCCTTCTATTGGTTTCCAAAGTGGAGTTGAGCACAAATGCTAAAGTGGAGTTTTAATGGTTTGTCTTATTGTAGGTGGCTTTGCAAAGGTTAAGCTGGGTCGTCATTTGCTCACTGGTGAACAGGTTGCAATAAAAATCATGGACAAGCTGGCTCTAGGGGTGAGTTCACAATGGAGGAAAACTGAGCTTAATTTGTACAAATTTTCTAGGGGTACAACATCTTAATGTGAAATTATTAAGAACGGGAGATGCCTAACAGAGTTGGAATGTTAAGCCCCTGGAACCATACTGGGCTTTATTACCACTACCTGGACAATGTTCTTCAGTAATGTAGAATGTAAATTGATGTTTTGTTTAAGCACTCAATGCCTACTAAATAGCAGAAATGTATGAGAAAATATAGCCATAGGTAATCCGACTGGTCACTGTTCAAGCTCATCTCATTTTGGACACTTAGCTCTCTTGTTTCCATTCTCTCTGCCCCAATATGGTTGCTCCTCTTGAAAGCAGCTTTGAGAGAGGAAAAATAGTGGACCGTGGCCATTAAACCATTCTTCATTTTTCCCTCAGGCCTTTTAGTCGGGTGTTGGCTGCTAGGCAGGCAATTATATTCTGAGTTAAGAGTGGGGCTTGTAGGACTGCCTTTGACATCAGCTGCCATTGGTTTCTCCCTAAAGAAAGAGACAATATGCATGAATCCTACCTCTGCCCCACTGCTGCATCTGTGAACGAGCAACACACTGGCATGCGTCTGGAGGGGCTCTCAAGTGAAAGGAGGCACATTGCCGCAAGACAGTCTCTGCTTTCAGGCTTCCACTTAAATAGAGAAAATAGGAAAGGCGAAGGGAAGAGGAAAACAAGCAGTTTCGGGTCTAGAGGAAAAGACTCTCTTGGTGACTTTTGTGTCATAACGTGTTTGGAAACAGCACAAATCTTTCATCTTTTAGGATGATTTGCCCCGTGTAAAAATGGAAATTGAAGCCATGAAGAACTTAAGCCACCAGAATATCTGTCGACTGTACCAAGTAATTGAGACGCCAAAGAAGATCTTTATGGTTCTAGAGGTAAGCTTGAAAGCCTTGCTTTGTAACCCTTCTGTGGATCCCAGCAGTTGCAAGAAATATTTGTAAGCCTTTTTTAAAACCCAAACTGCTTCATGCATCATGTATTCTTCAGTAATTATGTCAGTTGTCTTGTGGTGGTCTACTTGTGGTAGATTCTGGGAAAGTGAATCTACCAAACACCTGAGCTGACTGTGGTCCATTCTGTCTTCAGCATCTTGTCCAAATAGGGTAGGGGGAAAATAATACATTGATGCATCATAAATTCATTTTTTTCACGGTTGTACCACTTCAAGGAAAGTAAAATATATTTACCTGGTTTTTATGAAATCAAACAAATCAGTACACACACACACACCTCTACCTCTCTTATAGGTGCTGCAGGAGACCATTGAACTCCAACAGTAAATTTTATTTTGAGGAATAAAATTATCCTCTATTCCAAGTTCACTTTATCTTGAGAAAGGAATTAACATTCACAGCATAAACTAACAGCATTTGTCAGGTGCTTTTGAAGGGGCATGGTTGGGGAGAACAGCCCAACTAGGTTATTGGGGTACATTAGAACTGGAGTGGGCAACCTCCAGTGCGCCATGGCCTTTTTCATGGACCCACTAGTTGCTCCTGCAAAAAGCTGCTGCTGAGCTGCAGAGTCCTGCTGAGAAATGAGGTGCATGCCCCCTGCACAGCTTGTTTTCTCCCAGTATTTCTGTTTCTCTGCAGAATGGGACTCGCAGCAGCCAAACAGCTGCTTAGCCAGATTTGGGAAGCCCGGTTCTGCAGGAGGAACGTGTGGACTCTCCACATATTTGCATCTGGTAGCTTGCTTGAGTGCACAAAATGGCATTTTGAGAGACTTGGTGCCTATAAGGAAAGGGCTGTAGGGAGCATTAGGAAAGAATTTGAGGGGAAAGAAGCTTAGGAATTGTGAAGGTTCTTATGACATACAGAAGCTGAATGCAGCAGGTCCGTTTCGACTCGTGTTTCAACCAGAGGTGGCCATTTGTGTTCCCACAACCTTCATCCTGCCCTGAAGCAGTTTTATGTGCTTTTCTGAGCCACCTCAAACTATGACTAAGGTGTGCTTGAAAAATCAAACTTGTTTGGTCTCATTTGTAAGGGATAAGTATGAAAGTGTATGGTTGTTGCATCCACGTGTTTTACTGTTCTGCACATTGTCACTGCTCTCCCACCTTTTTATAAGCTCCAGCCTGAAGCATCTTCAGGAAATGAATGTGTCTAGAGATGTCCATTGAGCACGTATTTTTGGAGGTCACATGATCTATTTGGTGATGACCAGTTCTTTCGCAGAACACTCATGAAGGAGGTACTGTGAGCACAGGGACGGAGGAGTTGACTTGCAGCCCTTGGGCTGTGCATGGTATTCAGCTTGACATCAAAAACCGTCTTCAGGTGAAGAGATCATATCCTGTGGGTAGAGGGATGCAAATGAGAACAAGGAACAGCCATCATCTTCGTCTAGTCCTACTCAGTGTGTGTTGTGGTCCTGCCACCAATGGCATGCCGCAAAAAATAGGTTCCCCACCTGTGGATTACAGCCTGGATGACACGGGAGCTGTCAGAATACTGGAGTTGTCCTTCCTTTCTCTGTTCTCTCTGTGGACATCAGAGGGTTGGAAACTTGCCCTCTTTTTAAACAAAATAATTTCTTCTTAGACATTGTAGTAAAGTGCTTTAGTCTCTCTCATTAGCCACCAAATTATCCACTCTGTTGCGAATGTGTTGCCTTCTTTTTCACTGCAGTACTGCCCTGGTGGAGAGCTGTTTGATTATATCATTGCTAAGGATCGCTTATCAGAAGAGGAAGCACGTGTGTTTTTTTGCCAGATAGTAGCCGCTATTGCCTACGTACACAGTCAGGGGTATGCTCACAGGGACCTTAAACCGGTAAGTGTGCTTCTGCCTTTCACAATCTCCGTAGGAATAAGCACATGGAAGGTTGTCAGGTTCCAATGCTTCAGTGACAGTGTCAGAATTGCCCAGCCAGGCTCTGGCTTCTATGCCCAGCTCTGCATTGTCTACAGTCTGTGACCCTCTGGCTGCTTGTGGGTTTCCTGCTAATAGCACAGAGCTCCAGTTCTCCTTGGTTCTTCTTTGTCAGCTTCATATGCACGCAGTCCCCAGGTTACGAATAAGTTCCATTCCTGAGATGGCTTTCAAGTTCGATTTGTAAGTCAGATCATGTATATAAAAAGCATATGAAACACTTAAATGCTTCCATATACACTAAAGCATCTTAAACTCTATACAGCATTTTAATAATGATAATACAGTAACTGTTATTGTTGTTAGTTGCGAAGTCGTGTCCGATCCATCACGACCCCATGGACAACAATCCTCCAGGCCTTCCTGTCCTTAAGTGGAGTCCACTTAAGCTCACACCAACTGCTTCAGTGACTCCATCTAGCCACCTCATCCTCTGCCATCCCCTTCTTCTTTTGCCATCTATTGTTCCCAGCATTAGGCTCTTCTCCAGGGAGTCCTTCCTTCTCATTAGGTGGCCGAAGTATTTCAGTTTTATCTTCAGTATCTGGCCTTCTAAAGAGCAGTCAGGATTGATCTCCTCTAGGACTGACCGGTTTGATTGCCTTGCGGTCCGAGGGATTCACAGGAGTCTCCGCCAGCACCACAATTCAAAGGCCTCAATCTTTTGGCGCTCAGCCTTCCTTATGGTCCAACTTTCACAGCCACACATTGCAACTGGGAAAACCATAGCCTTGACTATATGGACTTTTGTTGGCAGGGTGATGTCTCTGCTTTTTAGTATGCTGTCTAGATTTGCCATAGCTTTCCTCCCCAGGAGCAAGCATCTTTTAATTTCTTGGTTGCAGTCCCCATCTGCGGTGATCTTGGAGCCCAGGAAAATAAAATCTGTAACTACCTCCATTTCTTCCCCATCTATTTGCCAGGAAGTGAGAGGACTGGATGCCATGATCTTAGTTTTCTTAATGTTGAGTTTCAAGCCAACTTTTGCACAGTAACAGTAAAGTAACTAAAAGTACTGAAGAGAATCTGATTGTTGAACAACTAAAGCCTAATGCAGTCCCAGTAACTGATGGTGTCTCTCTTTCCTCAATTGCTTTAGTATTTCTACTTTAGTTTCAGTTGTAGTTGTTTTTCTCGTCTTTGATTCACCACTGCACTTGCATCATATTTAAGCTTTGGAGGCATGGTTACAAACCAAATGCAGTACAAAGTTATAGAAGGCAACTCTTAACTCCACATGAACTGGAATACACTGACTTGGAAACACTTGTTTTTCATGAGCATGAAAAACTAAAGTATTTCTGCCACTGCCACAGAACTAGTTCCAGCTTTGCTCCCTCCTCCTTCCCTTTTCCTCCTTCCTTCCTCTCCTTGCTGCAGGTACCTGCTTGGCACTTGAAGATGAGGTGGGACTTCCAGGTTTGCTCATTCATAAGCAGGGTTAAGAACATCTGTTCTTAACTCAGATGTTCATAACTGAGGGACTGGGTGTATCCCCTACTTATTTCTCCTTCAAGCTCCCACTTCTCCAGTGTTTAATGCTAACTACTTGCGGGCTGGAGAAATAGCCTTTGGTTTTAACAGGTTAGTTATTTGAGCTGAGTATGCTCACCATACTTTCAGTGTTTATATTTAGGTTCACGTTCTGATGGTTTCCTTTAGCCATTGCCTTTCAACTAAACTTTAGGAACTAATTTCCTTTTTGCTTTGTTCTTCCCAGAATATGCTGCCCTCTTTCATTTTTGAATAGTCCTTTCTTGCCTCAATTCCCAATTTCCTTTGAACTTGTTCCTGCAAGCTTTCTTCAGATTCCCTTTTCTTTTTTCAGTCTGTTGTCTACTCTGCACCTTCCCTGTAGCCTCCTTATGTCTAACCACTGTTAATTTGGCTTCTCAGCCTCCCAGAACTTCCTAGGCCTTAGTCTGTCTCTTGTGAATTTTTTAATTTCAGCCAAATTGATGGTTTTTCCTTTATAGAACCTGCTCTACAAAGAGTAGTTTTCAGGGAGGGAACATTCCATGCCTCTATGCCAGCTCAGTTCCTTGGTGTTACAGACTTTGCTGCATACTCAATGTACTATAGACCCCTGCTGATTCTCTCTAATGGTTTCTCCAGTTTCATCTGCTAAAGGGCTGTCTCTTTCTCATTCTGTTCTATACTTACATGTTCAGGATTCAGCATTTAGCTTCCATTTGCTTCTTCCTGTTCAGAAGTGGTTGAATTTATTGTATCTGGTTACTCTTGTGCTGGATTCTAGAAGATGTGCAATCTCTCTTTTGTCAGGAAAACTTATTGATCGATGCTGAACATAACCTGAAGCTGATAGATTTTGGTCTCTGTGCAAAACCAAAGGTATGTGTTCAATTTTGCTTTCAATCATATCACTAATAGAAAGTGCTCAGTTCGATTGCCCTGGCTGAACGGAGATGCGTTGTTTGCTTTGGAGATGAAACAGCCAGTCTCTGGGTACCTCAATTTCTGCTTTGCTAAGTAGATGACTGTTGACTAAACTTGACTAATTTTGCCATGGGCCTGTTGAAGGTCAGCCATTCAACTGGTTTATATTGGTGTGTGGAAGCAGATTGTTTCTGTCCTCCCTCCATCATGGCTCTCTCCAGTACAATATCAAAGAAAGGCAAAATAGTACGCACATCACTAGGCTATTCCTTGGAGGTCCAGTGAAACCTATTCTTGAACTGTGAATATTCCATTCTATCACAGCTGATTCTTGAGAGCTTTATAACAAGAAAAGTGGACACCCGAGTTCTTCTGTCCTCTCTCCTTTTTCTTCTGTAATGTCCTTTTAAATAATAAGCCTGAGAGGAATGATTGCCTTGTGCCTGTTGACCTGTAAGCTTTTCTGGCTGAAGAAAATAGGGTATAAAAGCTTTAAATGATAACGAATAAGTTTAGCACCTTATCAGGCTACAAGTAAATCAGATGCTGTAGGAAAATATGCCTGTTCTTATGCAGTATCTCTCGTGGCAACTTGTGGGTTAATTCACAGGGTATAAATTTGTCATACAAACTCAGGCACTTTGGGTTATTCATGGGTTAAACAACCTAAAGTTAACCTAAGAACAAACCATGGGTTCAGATGACATGGTAACAACCTAGACATAGCTTATCGTTGTTTAAAGGCTAAAATACTGGGGGCAATGCACCCTCTTTCTCATGTGATTAAACAACCCATAGGTCATCATACGAGTTTTTGTTGTATGTGAACCAGGTCAGTTTCTGGGTTGTCTCTTTTGGGGTGCAGCTGGCAAATGAATGCAGCTTAAGGTTCATGGCCAGCTGACAGTTTGTATGTAATTGTGGACCAGGGAAGTAATTGCCCTTGGTTTTTAACAGCTTAGCTATTTGAGCTGAGTATGCCCACCGTGTCTTCAGTGTTCATACGTAGGTGAAGCTACAGATGCTGCTTGTTGCTCATATTCTTCTTGCAGGGTGGTCTGGATTATCATTTAAGCACATGTTGTGGAAGTCCAGCATATGCAGCACCAGAGTTAATTCAAGGCAAAGCTTACATTGGCTCAGAGGTAATGTAACACATTCTTTAACACTTGAGCATTTTATTCCCCTCATCCTCTCAAATGACTCTTGCTGAGACACGTGTCTTATTTCTCTGCTTCAGCCTGACACCCAGTTGCTTTGTCACATTGACAGCATGGCTGTGCAGCAGAAATCCTACTTTGGATAGCAACAGTCCTTCTGGTCATTCCTGCAAAAGCCAGGATGCTCCTGGGGGCCTTACAAACCCTCATCTGGCCCTCTGCATTTTGCAGAGGCCTCCCGTTGTTCCAAATCTCTGCCTTGGGAGTGGAGCTCCAGGAGCAGTCAGAAATGGCTGAGGAGCACTATTGGAGGCATGCTGGGATCATCAGTGGGACCTCACCAAGTCCCAGTGCATTCAAGTTGCCTTTCCCAATTCTGGACTAATGCTGCCCCGAAGAGCATGTTTTCCCACACTCCCCAACCACCAGAGCATGCCTCAAACAAATATCAGAGACTAGCTCCATGTCCTGCCATTTTGTGTGCATTTAGGTTAACTCTCTGCAGCCTCTCTGGTGTGTGTTAGGCTAAAGCTACTTGAACAGAATAAGCAGAGTGGCAGGGACCCACACATTTTGGCTGGTTTTGGTAGATTGTCAAGGGGGAATTGGGTGCTGTATTGTGTGGGTGGTAGGACCCTGTCCTTGTGAAGTTCAGTGGGTGACTTGAGGCCAATCACAGAATCTCAGTATATGCTACATCACAGGGTTGCTGTGAGCATAAAATGGAGAGGAAGAAGATTGTGTAGGCTGCCTTGGGCTTCCTGGGCAAAAGGTAGGGTTTCAAAGTAATATAGCAGCCCTCCCCAACCTGGTGGCCTCCAGAGGTATTTGGACTGCAGCTCCCAGAATTCTCTTCTAGCAGGGCTATTGACTGGGGATTCTGGGTGTTGCAGTCCAAATTGTCTGGAAGGCACAGGGTTGGGGAAGGCTGTAATATAGTACAAAGGGGAGGGGCACCTCTAGCCTGTGGGTGTCTCCCAACCAGCCCAGTGGAGCTGTGGCTCTCCAGGCGGGCTCCACCCCGTCAAGTGTCTCCTGGCAGCTTGGAAGTGGAAGCATCACCCCGTGCTTGCTTATTGATGATGGGTTACCATGGCAGTTCTCCTCTGGCGACTGGCAGGATGAGCAGCACGCCTGTGCTGTGCCTTCCCCTGCCGAAGAAGTGGTGTGCAAGAGCGTAGCAAGGCCGAGCTGGATGCAAACGAAACTGCCACCCTGTGGATTCTGTCTGCTTGTCATTCCAGGCAGATGTTTGGAGCATGGGAGTCCTCTTGTATGCTCTCCTCTGTGGATTTCTGCCCTTCGATGACGATAACGTCATGGCACTCTACAAGAAAATAGTGGTATGTATCTTGGCATAGCCCATCTCAAGCATCCCAGCCTTCATGTTTAAGCGAGGATTCCTGCAGAACTACTCTGAGAGAAATGCTGTTTCCCAGAAGCTGAGTGGCAGAGCGCCCCTCTTTCACAGCACTGAACCTTCTGGCCTCACAGAAGCCTAACTTAGGTACTTGCCAGCATTAAGGACTGCACTGGAATAACCTCAGAAGTCCAGTTCTCATGCCTCCCTCCCTCCTCCCACTCCCCCAACCTCTGTGAGGCAGTAGCCAAGTGCTGATGCTGTCTTAGCAGGAGGGCATCAAAGATCTCTCACTTTGTGTCGGGGAGCCTTGTAGGAAATCTGCTGTGTGTGCCCATGCGTGACAAGAGGCCAGCATGGCATCTCTGGCATGCCCAAGCACTTGTGCAGTTGTAAGCACCCACATAATTTAATCTGCCCGGGACAAGTTCCTCTCCTGCGCACCCTGGCCAGGTGTGTAATTCCCTTTTTTCTGCTAGAGATATCCTTCTTGGGATGATGTTTTTATTTTCTGGTGACATCATAGAGTGAAATGAAGGGTACCGGCCTCCTGTAGAGTGGAACACTTGGTTATTGTCTAGAGGCTGCAGCTTTGCCTGCTTGTGTCTGCTCTTCCGCCAGCCCCCAATTGCTCACTAGAGCAGGAGTCTAGGAAGATGAGCATCTCGTAACTTTGCAAGACGTGGTACCATCTGACTCTAGGTATGGTAGCATATTTAATTTCAGTTGTGACGACTCTCTCCCCCTCGCCACAGCAGGGAGATGTGTTATCATTCAGGTCAGCACCAAAAAAGCATAAGGCACTGCAAGTTCAAGCACGATGCTTGTCAATTGAGGCTGTTTACGCTTGGTTTGAATCTGTGATGCAGGTCAAATTTGGCCCCCGTTTCTGACTCTCCTTCCTGCAGGACCCCGTCCCCTTTTTCTCAGGAGGCTGCCACCTCAGTAGGCAGAGCTTATGTGCGTTGTGCACAAAAGGTCCCAGACTCAGTCCCAGGATCTCTGGTATTACGTGAGAGTCTGAGATTTTGGACCTGTGGGCAGGCAAGTAGGCAGGACTGGATTGATGGACCACTCGTCCAAGGTTAAACTGAGTTGCTGTAGTAGAGATTTGGGTTCAGCAGACTGAAAAACTATGAACAAATGCACCTCTCTGACTACTTAAATATGCTGGATTTGAGGGCTTCCTGTTTCACCAGAAAATACAAACAATTTGCTGTGGCTTGAGTTAAACAACTGGGCTTAGAATCCCCCCAATGTCACTTCCAAGTTGACAGCAACTGGTACAGATGTTAAATCTAAAGTAGGATGATACTATATGGAGTGGGCCTCCTACCTCACATTTTTTCTATGCAGGCAGATAAAAATGACTGTAAACCAAAATCCTGTTAATGTTCTCTGGCTTCCAGTCTACAATGTACCTCTTTAATCATAAGAATGAACATTTCACGAACACAGATTTCCTGTCCCTGTGGGTGTGTGTGTTTTACTTGGGAGCATATTTGGTTTATTTCTTCTGAAGGTGATAGGTCTTCATTTCCCCTTTCCCCTGGTACAAAAAGCATTCCATCCCTTGATCCTATTTCTGGTCCTCTTTGCCTCCCCCAGCTTTACATTCAAGAAGATGACTTGCTCCCCAAGTCAAATGATGCAGCCACACATTAAGTTATTAATATATATTTTGCATCCCTTAACATTTGGTGACAGAATTCCTCCTGCTGGATCAAGGAAGGGGTGGACAACTGTGGGTGGGCTGGGAGGGGCTGTTTTACCCCCTCTCCAGCAGGCTGCACAGGAGGAGGAGGAAATAAAAATAAACAGAGCTCAACAGTGCTAAAAGGGCTAAATTTAGCTTGATAGCTGTGGACTGCCATTCTGTTTGCATATATTCAGAATGGCACCCGTGGATTAAGGATTCCTTTCCATATGGATAGATCCCCCAGTCTTCTCCTTTCCTTCAAACAATCTCTTGATTATTGTAAAAAAATTTCCTATTAAACACAGAGGGCAAAGCTCTCTAAAAACAAAGATGGAAAGCATCTTTTCAATGAAAAAAAGGAGAATGATGTAAGCTGCTTTGAGTTTGTTACAAGAAAAAAGCAGGATAATAACTCTTAATAGAAGAGCATGTATTTGTCTCTTATGTTGCTTTGAAAGAGCCACTGGTCTCAGAATCCTCACAAGTCATGAGTTTTAGTAGGCTGAAGTTGCTGGAATCTGACAGTAACATTTTCTTTAAACATCTGATGAAAAATACTGCTCAGCTATACTGATGATTCTTAACAAAAGGCTTGGGAGGAAGGATGGAGAAATGGGCAAATCTCCTATGTGGAGCCATTGCGTATGGAGAAGAGAAGGGAATGAGACGATCCCCTGTAAGCTGGGTGTCCTATGGCCTGAAATCACCCAAAATCTCATTCACCTTGTGCTTCTGCATTTCCCTGGTGGCACTCACTGGATCATAAAGCAAAGCATTCCCTTTGTGGTTTTAACATTCCAGCAGCCACTTCTAATGTTTTTCCCATCTATTCTTCAGTGAATGTTCAACAATAAAATAACCTCTAACTTTTTACTAGTAGCCTTCCTAAATTTGGCCTTATTAGAAGTTCCAGAAATAAAGCAGGGAATAAAAACATTGGGCGGCTTGCTGCATTAAATGTGGGCACTGGACATACAGGATAAAATGGCCTAGGCTGATCCAGTGCACTGATGTGATATCTGCATTGATTGAGTGCTGTGATCCAAACTATGGAAACCTTCAATCACATGGCTTCTTAGCTATTACACTGGCCATTAATCCTGAATTTTATTCAGTCTCTTTGGTTCTACCTTCCGAAGGATGAGAGGTTTTGTGGTTTAATTCCTATCTACTTTTGACTTATACCGCCCTCAGCATTGACACCCACTCCAGTCCATGTAATGTTTCTCTACCAGTATTTCCATCACTGCTCTGCTGCTGTTAGACATCAAGTTTGACTGTGGAAAGTAATACCTTGTCTCTGAGACAGTTAAAAAAAGTTGACTGGATCAAGGGATAGCTGTCCTAAGCTTCGCTAATTCAACTAGAACTAATGCTAAAATTGTTTCCTCTACAGAGGGGGAAGTATGAGATTCCAAAATGGCTCTCACCTGGCAGTGTACTGCTTCTGCACCAGATGCTGCAGGTAATCTTCTGAAGCAGGGGAATGTCTAGTTATATGGCAGGAATGCCTGGAGGTAATAACTTGCTTTGCTCAACCCTTCTTGCCCAGTATTAAATTCCTTTTATGACCTGTAATGGTCTCTCCCATAGCAGTAATGGCTGAAGGAAGGAGAGAAGGCACCTTGATACCAGTGTCTGAAAAGAGCAAAAGATCAGACCAGAGCCCCTTCTGCCTTGTCTAGTCCAATATCTTTCCTGTTTCCCGCAACAGCTAGGCTGATGCTTCCAGGAAGTCCTCAAGCAGGAAGTGAAGGCAACAGCCTCTGTGGGCATCAGCTGCCTCTGGATGTGGGTCATTTATGGTGAAAGGCTGTCAGTAGACCTCTCCCCAATTTGTGCCAACTTTTTTTCTTAAACCTCTTCTATAGGTGGAAGATGATTGAAGATTAACTTATTTGAATAGTTCCAAGTAACTACTTCTCTTCCTTAAATAAAAAAAGCCAAGATTGGCCAGTAGAAATTGGAAATAGAAATGGATGGAGTCTGGCTGTCCCTGTCTTGCCAGCTCAGGGATGTGGGTTACCTATCAAGATGGTCTCCATGGTACTCACTGTGACATAACAGTATTCCGAGGTTTCTGAACTCTTTCTTGAAGCAAATTTGAGTACTGGGGGTCCTGTGGCTGCCGCTTTCCCCCCAGGTCCAGGCACTCCTCCCACTGTGCAGAGATTATTTGTTTTCAACTGCCCTGTAAGAAAGAGAAGAAGTGAGAGATGGCCAAAAGCAGGGAGCTCTGCTTGCTCTTGCTTTTTACTAGCTGTGTCTGCAGCAGCCAGAGTCGCACGAAACCATCCAAATGCAGCTGGGCTTCCAAAGGCCTGCTCTGCAAGAGCAAAAAGGATTGAGTCAATTTCAGCCATTCCGAGGAGAGTCACGTTACCAGCTATTTCTTGGAAGGTGAAGCTATTTCTTGGAGGCCTGTTCTTGAACCCTGTGTACTCTTTTTCTCTCACAGCATGTTTTTAAAGAGCCATAAATATTAAGAATTACTGCCTTGTGTTTTCTTGTTTTCCTCTTTCCTCCTCATCTTCCTTCTGTGACATTTAAAGATAAATTTTAATCCCAGTGGTAGTGTCTGCTTTGTGTTTATGGATCTGTAATCCTTGCTGAGAGCCCTTCTTGATAGAAAATTAGGATTTAATTGATATGTCAATAACTTGAACTGATGGATTTTTTTTTTTTTTTGTGGTATCCCGAATATCAGAAGAACACAATGGTCCAAAGAGAAGGCATTAAGAAATGTTTTGGAAATGCATTTTTAGGCTCTGCCTAACTGCACTGACCTCCTTATTGCAGATAGGCTAAAATATATGGTGTATTTATTTAATGGTGTTTACAGTAGCTATCTTCTAAAATGCACCTCTCTTCTTACCCACTAGGTGGACCCAAAGAAAAGGATTATGGTTAAGCATCTCTTAAACCACCCATGGCTCACACAAGGCTACTCTTTTGCTGTCCACTGGCAAAGTAAATACCCTGTGAGTCAATTAACCTGTATGAATGAGAGCTTCTAACAAAGCTAAAAGTAGGCTGACCTGAGATGGTAACAAGACTAAGGAAGCATAGTGCTAACATATTTTCTGGATCCTTCACAAAATGTTTTTAAATCAAGAGTTTAAAACTTCTAAAGAAAGTGGAATGCATGATATGGCTGCATTCCTGCTGTTGAATGCCGGCCAGAGCAGGTGGCTTGTAAGATGGCATCCACCTTGGGGGTTTTGTCAAGTCCATAGAGAACCATTCCTGAAGAAAGTGTAACTCTTCAGTAAATGAAAACATATCATACATAGGAAGTTGCCTTCCACCAATTCACTCTTCTGGCTACCTGACTCAACTTCACCTCTTCTGACTGGCTGAAGGTCTCCAGAATATCCAGCCAAAGGTCTTTCCCATCAGAAAAAGGATCCCTTTTTAACTAGAGATGCCAGGGACTGAGCTTCTGTGTGTGTAGCATGAACTCTACTATGGAGCTTTCGTTCCTTCCACTTGGCTTAGAAACAGCTCTGTATATAGTACAGAAAGTCCAGTCCCAAATGGGCAAATGCTGCCAGGATATGGCCTTTAGGAAGACATGGCCACAGCAAGATAAACAGTAAGTCTACTTGAAATCCTGTGTATGAGATGTTTGTGTATAGCAGAAGTGGTCCAGATAAAATTATCCAGGCATTGTGCTGTCCATTGAGTGTCACTGTTTCTCTACCCTAGAAAATGCTCATTTTCTTTGTGGTTGCCCACACACATTTAAAGCCATTTGATTTCCATCTTCTCCAGTCCTCAAGGGGAAAGTGATCTGCTGTAGCACTAAGAACTACAGCAGATCATCCAGAATTATATAATTTTAGTCCACACAGAGTGGCACAGTGTGTCAAGCGTCTAAACATCCTTGAGTTTATAACTGAGATTATCCTGAGTGATCCACGGTAAATGGATAAAATCGCCCTACAAAATCCCCAACTTGGGAGAGAATCTGGCAAAGTAAGACTTTAATTGGCAGAGTTATCATGCCTGGGTACATAGAAGTGAATGCATCCTCTGTGGGGGAATTATTTCATGCTGCTTAGGTTGTGATCCTGTACTCTCTTCCCTGAGAAACAGTTTTTAATTCAGTGGGATGTACTGTTGAATAGACATATAAAGGATTATACTATTTTCCTAGTGCTAAGTAAGATACACCTTACATATCCTTACTCTGGTAAATATAGTGCCACTTCCACTACCCCTCGTCAAGTGCATTGCTAAGCATCTTACCATGCACCTGCCCCAATAATGCAGACGGCTAAGTTCATAGACGCCAAGCATATGTTTACATTCTTGATGCTGCTCCTTATATGTGATTATGACTCTCCAGGTGTTTATAGAACTCAGGGTTCAGAGGATCACCCTACATAGCTATTGACAGTTTTTTCAACACACAAGGGTCAAAAGTAAAAGTTTCTGCAGATCTGGCAGTTAAAATATGTCCTGTGATGAGAACTAGGAAAATGCCTGTATTTTGTAATGGTATGTTTTTGTGTCATTTAAAAAAAATGAGATGGCAAGTATCAGGAATTTAACATCAATTTTTAAATGAACTGTTTTCCAGCTTGGGCATCTTGATGAAGACTGCATAACAGAACTTTCTGTGTTTCATAAGTGTAGCAGAGAACATATGACAGATGTAATTTCAGAGGTACTGTTTGACTTCAATAATCTATCTTGAACAAGTCAAAGATGTATATTTGTTCACACATGTAATTTTAAATTCTGCACAGGGTTTCTCAATGCTGACATCTCTGTTTTAGCCCTAGTTTTAAACCTCAGTGTGCTGCTCTAATTTAGAACTATTCTTGAGTAGCTTTGACTCTAACATGCCTATTAAGAGCTTCAGGTACACTGACTCCCCTTGCTTTAAGCTTGTGGTTTTCATACTGTCCCAAAGTGTCTGTGTTTCCTTGTGCACTTACCTAAAGCTCTCCTCCAAATTCATGCCTGCCATTACCAGTCTTCCATTCAGAGGATATATTCTCAAAGATGTGACTTTAGAAATCTTGGCCAGCCACAAATTTCTTTGCACAAATTTGTTTGTGGAGCAGGTTTCCCTGAAGGCTAAAAGCTGTTTGAAATCATTTCTCTATAAGGGAATTATCTGAGGTTAAGTAAAACTATTCAAGTTTTCTGCATTGCAAGGGAATCCCTAGCCAAGGCCTAGCACACAAGTAACACTGAAAAAGCCTTATGTTAGATAAACTTGCTTCTGGAGGGGTTACTGGAGGTTGAAATGAAACTGGGACGTCAGGAAAATATACTGTTGAATCCTGTTGATGAGGCAGTAAGATAACAGGAATATGAAGCAAGTTTCTTATGGACGTTTTTAGAGGTCAATTAACAAAAGTCTGCTGAAGTGGTAGCTTTAGAAGTGCCTTTGCAACAGAGCATGTACATAAAGATTTGCGCTGCATGCCATGGCTGCGGGGGACTTAATGATTATGTATACAGTATATCAAATTGAAATCAACCAGTAAAAGCTTCCTGAAACCCTGTGGAAATGTTGACTTAAGGCATTCCTTTTCAAACTGCCCCCTTTTCAAAAGCATATTTTTCACATGATAAATTGCAGACGACTCTAGGAATGTTGTGGAGAGACTTGGTTCTCCTGGCATAGTGGTCTGGCCAGTTCACAGTGGAGGACTCTTAGGCCTCTCCTGAAACAGATCCTAGCAAGCTATTTCTAGTGCTAGAGATGAATGGTGGGGCTGGATAAGTGGTCTCTTCAGGAAATGTTGTCTGATTGAGGAGCCACAAGCTTCTCCAGAGTGCACTTTCAAAATCACTGTCAGTAATTGGTCCCTTGCAAAAGGCCTGGTCAGGAGACTTCATCAGAACAAAATTTTCTACATTTCACATCTCTTTAGAAGATCGTGCAAACCTAGATTCTTACTGCTCAGGCTTCATCTTCATAGCAATCAGCTGCTTATTTCATGGTAAGAATTTGCATATTTCATGGCACATTGACTCAGAAGGTACAGGCTCTTTTACAATTATAAAATTAATGCAATAGAGGCTTGAGGCAGGAGGTGAATTTCACAGAAATCTATGATTATAAGAATGGGGTGAGGGGCTGAGGATGGAATTAATAGCATTTTGATTTTAAATTGCCAAACTTATTCACATGCATGTCTGACTTAGAGCCAAAGTTGCTAAAAGGCAGAAAATGCAATGTAAAAACACAAGTGTATAGCTCTTGTATTCTTCTGCCTTTCCACAAATTTGACCTCTTAAAGTCAGGCACAGAAGGTGAATATGCTAATGCAGGATAATCTGGAGAGTAATAGGATATACTTTGTTTCTGAGCCAAGCTACATATTCAAAAGTTGCAAAACTTCCCCATTACAAAAAAGAAGCTGGAGAGGGAGAGATCACTGGCTGCTCTTTCTGCTTTTTTATTTTTTTTATTTTTTTATTTTTTGGGCGGGGGGGCCTCACAAGGGAATGATACATAATGAAATCTGCCTAGTTGTGATGTCAGGTAATGAGATAAACAAGCGAGTTTCATTCCTGTGCCTCATGGGCTATGGCACTACCTCCCCCAGAAACTTACTGAACTCTCCCTTGACACTTGATTCTCTTGCCCTTCTGTGGTCTACTCATGCTACACCATGAGAATTTCTGCCCTGGAATGCTGTCCCCAGGGAGAGTTTCTACTTTGATTAGTACCAGTTACCAGTGGCAATATGCTGTGCACTGAGCAGAAAATAAGACTCTTTATCTTCAGAAGAAAAGGGTTTTTTTTAATTTTCTATAGCCAATCTGAGTTCAACACTTGACATCTACTCTCTTTTCTTTGATGCCAAGTCTCCTGACTCTCTTGATGTAAGAAAAGATAAGATAAAAAGTCATAAGTCAAGACTATTTTGATGTCACTAGGATCTGCTTGTAATTTTCAGGTAGGTCTTCCTCTCCCACAAAGCCCACCCCAAAGATAAAGTGAAAGTAATCTAAATCTTTTTTGTTTATTAGTGGAAATATGATCATGTGTCTGCAACATACCTTTTACTTCAAACCAAGAAGGCTCATGGTAAACCTGTTCGTCTGAGGATTCCTACTGTAACATCAGACTGTGCTAGCATCACTCCATCCAGAGAATGGAAGGTGCGTTACCCATCTTTGCATTAAATGGCATTCTGATAGCAATGTGTATTATCAGTGAGTCTAAATTGCAGTCGTGTATCTTTGTGATGAACTTCTCCTCATTGTGAATCACCAAGGACAGAGGTTAATTCAGAGTCCCAGCTCCTAAGTATTATTATTATTATTATTATTATTATTATTATTATTTATTAAGAAAGCTTCTATGCTGCCCCATTCGCTGAAGCCTTGGGGCGGCTCACAAGTAGAACCTGGAGCTCCAAATTCAGACTGCCATCATCCCCTGGCAGCATGGCATGGCCCTTCCCAGCATATCTTGGGAAAGGTTTTAAAGAGATAGTATTGTGATAAATTTAAAAAATGGAAGGGACTATAGCCAATGAGCCTTTTAGATGCATAAGATAAATGTCTTGTTGGAATAAGCAATGGTCACTAATAAAGCACTTATATTATTATTAAAGCTTATATACACCATTTATTAGCAAAAAAGCTTTCAGAATAGTGTACAATAAACAATATATAGTATCAACAATAACTTTGATGTCAATAGGACATCTGTACAGCCAACAAAATTCAAACAGCATAAAAATGATTAAGAGTAAATAATATATTACAACAGTTTAACAACTAATCCACAATGTACCAATGATATGGTAAGCCTGGAAATGATATGGCACTTGACTGACACTTGATGAGGAGTGGTACATAGACCTCTTGTAGAAAGAAGGGATGCTGAACCACTCTAGTTCAGAGTGCCTGTCGGCTGTTCAGGACTTTCTTTCAGCTCCCTTGAGACAATGGGGATCAATACCAAGAAGGCTGGATTACTCTGCTTTTGGTAATCCCCTGGAAATTTTCAGCATTTACCCTGAAGTGTTCTGAAAGTGCTTTAGTACAGTGATTCTTCCCCCACCAAAATCTCTTTGTACAGATCAAAAAGACTCTGAGCTACCAAGATGATCCAGACAGCAATGCTATGCCATGTGTATTTGGATCCATGGAATTTTTAAACACTTATGAAGAAACACAACCTGTAATGTGCAACACACCCAAAACCAAACAGGTATCTGTAGCCATTAACTCTTTTAAAGCCAATATAAACTGACCTAAGTTACGTTTTGGCTTGGCGGTTGTATCCTGTTAAAACTTAACATCAGCAGAAAGATTGTTGGGAGACGTCTAGAGCGTAGGTGGAGGAAAACACGGGATGAATCTGACCGAACACACTTAAGAGCCCATTATTGGGCCTATGCTGTGGCGGTGAGGGTGGCGAAGAAGAAATTCTTCTCCGCTTCCATTGTCTCCTCACAATGCTGTCCAGCGGAGCTCTTTCAGGTGGTACAGGGGCTGGTTCACCCAGGCCCCAAGAAAGATCTCGTGCCACCCTCGACGGCCCGCTGTGATGACTTCGTCAAGCATTTCAAGGAGAAAATCGCTCAGATTCATCACGAGCTGGACTCTACGAGTGAATCAGAACTGTCTGGGGAGGTGCCAATGTTGCCGTCTGGTCCAAAATTGATGGATGAGTTTCAGTTGTTGCGGCCTGATGATGTGGACAAGGTGCTTGGACAAGTACGTCCTACCACTTGCTTACTAGACCCATGCCCATCTTGGCTACTTAAGAAAGCCAAGGACGGGATAGGGACCTGGATCCTGGAGGTTGTCAACGCCTCTCTAAGGGATGGCCGGGTACCTGCCCCTTTAAAGGAGGCGGTAGTCCGGCCAGTTCTAAAGAAGGGATCCCTGGATCCAGAGATGGCCGCCAATTATAGACTGGTGGCCAACATCCCGTTCTTGGGCAAGGTGTTAGAGCGGGTGGTGGCGGGACAACTCCAAGCACTCTTGGATGAAACTGACTATCTGGACCCATTGCAGTCCGGCTTCAGACCCGGTTATGGTACTGAATCTGCCTTGGTCACCCTGTATGATGACCTGTGCAGGAAGAAAGACGGGGGAGTGTGTCCCTGTTGGTTCTCCTGGACCTCTCAGCGGCTTTCGATACCATCGACCTTCTGGATAGGCTAGCGGGACTGGGAGTTGGAGGCACTGCTTTGCAGTGGTTCCGCTCCTATCTCAATGGCCGATTCCAGAAGGTGGTGCTGGGGGACTATGGCTCTGCGCCATGGCAGTTATGCCACGGAGTTTCGCAGGGGTCCATTTTGTCCCCCTTGCTATTCAACATCTACATGAAACCGCTGGGAGAGGTCATTAGGAGGTGTGGGCTGTGGAATCATCAGTACGCTTATGATACCCAGCTCTACCTCTCGTTTTCAACTAATCCAGGTGAGGCAGTGGCTGTACTGAACCGGTGTCTGGCTGAGGTAATGGGATGGATGAGGGCCAATAAACTGAAGCTCAGACAAGATGGAGGCCCTGTTGGTAGGTGGGTCGGGCTTCGGGGTGGGGGACCTGGACCTTGTCCTGAATGGGGTTGCACTCTCTCTTAGGGACAGGGTTCGCAGCTTGGGAGTGCTCCTCAACCCAGAGCTGTCATTAGAAGCTCAGGTGATGGCGGTGGCGAGGAGCACTTTCCTTCAGCTTCGGCTGATCCATCAGCTGCGTCCCTACCTGGAGAACAACTGCCTGGCAACTGTGACACATGCATTGGTAACTTCCTGATTAGACTTCTGTAATGTGCTCTACGTGGGGCTGCCCTTGAAGACAGTCCGGATACTTCAATTGGTGCAAAACAGAGCTGCCAGGTTGCTGACGGGGACTGGGCGTTGTTCTCATATAACCCCAATCCTCCATCAGCTTCACTGGCTTCCCATTGAAGTCCAGGCCCAATTCAAGGTGTTGGTTATCACCTATAAAACCCTCAATGGCTTGGGACCTGGACTTCATGTGTCCATATATGCCCTCCCGCCCTCTGAGATTGGCGGCAGAGGCCCTCCTCCGGGAACCCTCCGTGAAAGATATTAGGAGGGTGAGTACCTGGAGGAGGACCTTCTCTGTGGTAGCGCCCCACCTATGGAATGTGCTCCCCAGAAAGGTCTGCCTGGCACCATCGTTATTTGTTTTTTGGCGCCAGGCCAAGACCTTTTTATTTAAAAGTTACTTTAATTGTTAATCAACTATTTATTGGGTTTTATATTGTGCCGAAATGTCTCCAAAATTTTTAAGGTTAATTGTGTGTATTGTGTCTGTTTTGTAAGCCGCCCCAAGGCTTTTTGCGAATGGGGCAGCATAGAAATGTTTTAAATAAATAAATAAATTGTGGTGTACCTTAAAATTGTGTGTGTGTAAAAGCTGAACGAGAATTTTTGGAAGTGGACAATACCATTGTTCAGATGGGGTCTGATTCCATAGATGCATCTTTAAAGTGCATCTTTAAGTTGGTTAATACAGCTCAGCCCAAGTGAGGAAAGGCCACAGTTCAGGGGTAGCATATGCAAAGTAAATATTCAGCCAATGGGAAGACCACCTGAAGCTATGGAGAGCCACAGCCAGTTGGTGTAGAGAACAATACTGAGCTAGGTGACCCAATGGCAGGTTTCTGTGACTTGACAGGGACCATCTGATGCTCTGTCCTTGTTGAAGTTAAGCAGGGTTCTCCCCAGGCAGTGTGGGAAACCAGCTCTGAGCCTTCCAAAGGAAGAACAGGGATACAGGTCTAATGTATGCATGTTCCAATGAAGAGGAAGTGCAATTGGGCATTGTTGGAATAAGAATAATATGATGCCATTGGAACTTGGAAGGACTGAGAGTGAGTAGGGGCTATTCATGAGCTAAGAGCTATTAATGATTCAGATAAAATACCTTAAATAATCTTTGACCTGAATCTGTAGGAGAGCAACTGATTGTTGAATGCCAAGGAGCTTCTGGCTCTTATTGCTGTGTGTGAATGGTTTCTATACATCCTAACAGCCGGATGAGGAGGAGTGGGGAAAGTGGGTTATTTAACGGGTGGCTATAGAGAATCCTGGCACAATGATTTGAGTTTTGCCTAGGAAAAGTTAACATCTGGGCAGCCCTGAGTTGTGAGTCGATGAGTAATGTAACAAACTTCATTTGTGACTTGACAATGCTAAAGAAAAACATTCCCATCATCAAAATATTTTCTTTTTAAAGCCTCATATGGTCCTGGTTGGTGGTGGAGAGTTCACACCACCTCTGCTTCCTGCTCCAAGGAGAGGAGCATCTAAGAAATATGCCAACAAGGAGAACTCTGGTGCCAATGTTCCAACAAAGCCAGATCTCTTCGTGCTTCCTCCTCCCAAGACACCAACTTCCATCACAGATGAGAAGAGAGTCCTGACCACTCCAAACCATGCACTACGATCTGAAGGTATGGCTCATAAAGAGGAAGGAATCGATGCTGTGAATGAGAACAAAGCAGGAAATGTTTAAAACTTATCAAGAATACTGGATTCTTGATACTGGAGGTAGATCTTGGGACATAATTACAGGTTGGCATTTGAAAGGGAGCTGCCACTTTAACACAGTGCCCTTGTGTTAAACCTTCCTGTCCCTGATGTATCATAGTACTTTTTCTTGTCCTATGGCTTTTATGGTGGTTATGGAGGCTTATATTGATTTGTTTCCTATGTTATGCACCACTGTGGATTAACTTATCCATAAACAGATAGGCAGAACTGACTGCGCTGTCAGCTGCATGCTGCTCACTTCCTCTTTCAATTACCAACCTACAGTCACCCTGTTGGTAGGTTATTGGCATGATATCCAATGCTGGGATGTTAACCCACCCAGAGCATTTAGGTTTGGATGTCACACAAACAACCTATGAATGGGGCAATTGAAAGCAGCATGTAAACTCAATCACTAATACTGCATGCAAACTCCAGCACTGCTTCTTGAAGTGCTTCTTGCTTCCTAAAGTAAGAACAAGCCAATAACATTGCTGCATCTTTCCTCCAGGAGCAGCATTCTAAAACTTCAGTGGTCAAGTTTTTATTTTATTCTGTCCTTGTTCCATCAATTATTATTGTTGGCACTTTAAAGGGCTTCTACTCTGCCAACTGTGGTGGAGTTTGTAATAAAATTCTTGCTTTGATTCAGCATGCTTTTAACAGCATGCTAAAGTTGCCTCCTAGCAGCTTTCCAAAGATTGGCACTGAAAGTAGTTACTGTATCTCTAAATACCAGGAGGTCGCAACTGTCACAGATAATGCAGTTGGCTAAACGACTAATCATCATACTCTTTAGCCTCAACCCAAAGAATATCTATTGGATGAGACTGATTGCATGTTCTTGCTTTGACCCCACTCTCCTGCCAGCTACCGATACCCACATTTTAATTGAAGCCCATGACTCAACCCTCACCATTACCTTCCCTTGTTGTGTCTCCTTGTGGGGAGGTGGGGATTCTTTAATCTTGAAGAAAAAACTACTTTTTCATCTGCCTGTGAATAATCCATTTGGCTGCTGAACTATATGAAGCACAGGACCAAGAAAGGATAAGGCGTCTTTCTAGATCTACTCACTTGAATCTCGGTGGTACTTCTTGCAGAGAAAGGGCAAGCCACCAGAGAGACCCCAGTTAAGCTACCAGCTCCTGCAAAACCAGATGAATTGGCAGCAGGAATCATTAGCCCTGAGAGAAGGTAAATGTCCAGTTAATTTGAGCATATGCCAATAGTCTATTGTTCAATCTTAATCCTTGTATTGATGGGGAGAGCTTTTTGCTATGGCATCTATGTTTGCTCTGTTAAAACCTTTTTAAATCCTTTCCTACACTTACCAACAAATATTAAAAGGCTACAGGGAAAAAATCTTTAACATTACACAGTTCAGTAGTCTTGGATGCATTCCTATTTTCCATAATTAAAATTCACTCTTGTGCCCCCAGAGAACTGGAGCACATATACAATTCTCTTTCAAAATCCCAAATTACTGTTATGCAGCAGGTCCTTTTGCCACGTCTTTGTTGGTTCCCCCTTCCCACCCCCAGAAAAGGAGGCTGAAAGACCTTTTACTGATGTCTCTAAAACTACCGATTCCCAGCCACTGAAAACCATTGTGTGCCTGCTATCTCTGAATATGACAGGTGTCGCTCAGTGGAATTGGACTTGAACCAGGCTCATCTGGACAGTGGCCAGAAGAGAAAAGGAACCAAAATGTTTGGGAGCCTTGAAAGAGGCTTGGATAAAGTGATCACCATGCTCACACCGAATAAAAAGAAAGGATCGGCAAAAGAAGGCCCAAGAAAGTTAAAGGTTGGCTAAAGCTTCTGGGATTTGTTGTATCAGCATGAATGTGTTGTAGCAAAACATCGAAATGAACATGGATGCCCTTTTTTTTTAAATAAGGTGCATGGTTAGGATTCTAAAATGCATGAAACTAATTATTTGAAAGAAATGGGACTTTTTTGTCAAACAGCAAGCCTCCATCTCATCACAGATACTGCTATTTTTCTTTATTTTTAAGACTATAATCAAGTGGTTTCTGCTAGAATAGCTTGCTCAGTAACTTTAGGTTAGTGGTGCCAGTTTTTGTGATGTATAAACTTGGAGCAGCCATTGTGTAATGTTTTAAACATAGTCTGTCCATAACCATCTAGACTAAGTTGCCTGGTCTTCCAAACCAAAGCTTTCCAACACTCACTGAACTTTTTTTCTGTGTGTACTTCACTTAAATTCACAGTCCAGTAAGCTTTCAGCACTTTCATTGCTGAAAGACAAATTTTGGGAGGTTGCTTCCAGTTTTTAAGTCCAAATGATGGTCAGCTTTAGCTACAATCGACTTTTGGACTTGAGTTGCAGAGATTTGGCTACAGCTGAATACCTTTGTAGTACCAAATGGGCTCTGGCAGTGCAGCTTGTCTGATCAGGCCAGCGTGTAAATCTGACAAAAGGCCCAAATGCCATGCTTAACTACTTGTGGGCAAGTAGCTGCCAATTCTGCCCTGCTTGTGGAGCAGCTTCATGGCTTAGCTTTGAAGCATCCAGGCTCTTCAGCAGAGCTCAAGGGGCAAATTGGCAGAGACATGGTGGTTACAGCTGAAGCAGCGAGAGACTTGCAAAGGTTTGGATCTCTTTTGAGCTGCTTATAACTACCTTACCAGTGGCTGGAATATCAAACAAATGTCTTTAGGCATTTGTGTATCAGCCCGACCTGAAATATTGATCCTAACCAAAACCCTAGGGAATGATGGGCTGGATGCTGCTTGATATAATTTCTTGCTTAAAGTTTCTGCATGGCAATCACTAGTAAGTAACAATGTTTGACAGCAAGTCAACAAAATCTTGAGATCCCTTAAAGATTGACGAGTTCATTGTGGCACAAGCTTGTGTGCATTTTATCAGATGCATGAAGGGTTACCCATTGTTGTTAACTGTATATTCACATGCTTTAGGAGGGGTGAATGTTGTGATCAGTGAAGCCAAAGGGAAATGAAATGCAAAAATTACAGCCTAGTAATTGTGTTACTGCTTAAATGTTTCACAGGCCCCTCATTGCAATGTGTTTTTTTCATTCTCCCTTCCCTACCTTTCGAAAGAGCACAGCTGGTGTTCAAATTGGAAATGCAGAACTGTGTCCTAGATGTGTGTACTTGTATCTCGATGTTCAAAGGAGGTTCTCATCAGAATGGTTAAACTATCAGTTTGGCAAATACCTCAGTAGGGTCTGTTACTAAAGCTTTGCAATTAATGCACAGGGAATGGCTTTAGTAGTCCGTTTTTCCCTAAAAGGGGGGAAAATGGCAACTTTCTGAAACTCTGCTGACTGCTCAAAGGTCAATTTCCCAAATACTTGATTTCTATTTTGGTCATAAGCAACTGTGAAACACAATTGTATTCATTAAAAAATTTTCTAGGCTCACTACAATGTGACCACAACTGACTTACTAAATCCAGATGAGCTGCTGAAGGAGATAATAGCTGTCCTTCCAAAAAAGCAAGTTGAATATGTACAGAAAGGGTAAGTGGAAAATTTCCTTCGGTTTATGCCTTGACAGCTAATTTCCCCTTGACCCTCTCACAAGGGCTGCTGCCTTGCTTCATGCCTCGTTGTTAATAATATTGCCAGAGACACAAACACGTAGTTTCAGATCTAGCACTGTATGTCCTTTGTAGCAGAAAGAAGTAATTTCTAATAGTGTTCTGATGTCCTAGTGGTTTTTATTGGCTTTCTTAAAAGGAAGCTGAATGAGCTACTAATACTGTCCTTCAAGAAGTCATTTGAGAAGTGGTAGCATGATATTTCATAATTAATATGGTAGTCCCTATGGCTATCGACCATTTATGGTGTCGATTGGACATCTAGCCCAGTACTCTCAGGCAGAAGCTTCTGTTTTCCTGGTTGGGGTCTCTCTCTCAATCCCCTCTCTCCTCTCTCTCCTTTAAAAGCAGCCCGCAGAGTGTGTGTGCTTGGCTCAGCAGAGAGCCATGCTTCCATTTGAGCTGCAGAAGAGATTTGAGAGGGGTCGGGGGCACTTGGTTTGTTATGCAGCCGTTATGATGGCTGAATCTAACCCTGCTCATCTGAATGGAGGAACCAAATGCTTATTTCAGGGCTCCTCTGGAAGCCCCGGGCCACAGTTGCACACACAGCTGGAGCTGCTTGCACACATGGGTGGTCACCACTGGATACTGCCCTTCGTATTCCTGGCCTGAATAACATGAACTTGGTGAACATCACTGGCTCACATTAGTAGTTTGATTAGATAATCAGTTTAATTTTTAAAATGTGCATGTTACCAAAAGATCAGCATATTTGCCTTGAGATACTGGAGGTAATTAGAGCTAAGCGAATACAAGACGGCATTTATTAGAAGAACAAGACACTTAACAGTATTATCTTCCTAATGCCTTCAAGGAACATGCCCAAACCAAAGTAGTCTTTTAAAAGCGGTACACATGTTCATTTTTAGCTCCTTCTGTTCAGAGTTAGCCTGGACCCCCTTCTAGTCAGATAAAGCAGCATTGGCTAATTGAGCTGCTGATTCAACCAACAGAAAGAGCTTAATAACTGGAGTGGAACATTTCTGCACAACTTTACATTTTGTAATCTTCCTGTCTGGATTGCCTCATGAACCACTAAATAAGATGCAGGCTGTTAGGCCAGATGACACAATGAGGAGGATTAAAAGGAAATGCTTGTTTTCCAGGACGGTATTATGTCAGAGGCCGGTTTTCCCCTGCTCCTCTTTCCAACCAGGTCAAGATAAGAGGCTTCTAACTACAGTCTTCATTACATTAAAGTTTGCCAGCTAGGCTGACTTTGTGATACAAAAAGGCACATTTGCTGGAAGAGTAATTGTTTGGGAAACATGGCTTAATGCCAAGAGGTTTGTTTGAAACAGAATAATCCCCCTCTTCCCTGCCTAGCCCAAAGGAACTATCTCCGCCATCAGGGTGCTCCCTGCTGCTTTTGGGTCAGACGGCAGGACTGTTGGATGCTACTCAATTGGTTTGCTTTTTTGATCTAACACTGGAGTATGGGGCTGATGGCATTGCATCTGCCTCGCTTTGGCACTGCCTCTTCAGCACTGTTTCTCCCCGAAGCAGAAATGACCTGGTTCTCACTGGCCTCTGGCCTTGCCATTGAACTATTCCAACCCCACCTCTTCTTCCAGTTCTGATTCAGATTCTGACATACCAGAAATGAGCCCAGTCTCTGCACAGTACTTTTGACTGCAGGTGGGTTAAATAGGTTCCATATTACTTCATGAAGGTAGGATGGGGGGGCAGTATTCTTATATAAATAGCTAACAAGAGTTCAGTTTAGGCTTCTTGAAAATATAGGAAGGGAATCTCTTGCATCTGTGGGTTTGAGGGGATGACATGCAAAGAATCCTGTGTGCCATAAAATGGCATATTGCAGAAAGAGCCTTTGCCCTTGATTTGGGTTGAATATGCTGATATTTGGGGTACTGTTTGCATAAAAGTTTGCTCTTTGCCCATTTTATTGCTATAATCACCCCCTCCCCCCACGGTATCTGACCTGTAGGTGCTGAACTAATACTTCCCTTCTCTGTTTTACATAGCTATAAACTGAAGTGCCAAACACAATCAGATTTTGGCAAGGTGACAATGCAGTTTGAGCTGGAGGTTTGCCATCTGAGCAAACCTGAAGCAGTTGTGGGCATCCGGAGGCAGCGGCTGAAGGGTGATGCTTGGGTCTACAAAAAGCTAGTGGAAGACATTTTGTCTAGTTGCAGGTTGTAACCTTGGCTAATACGAACAGTTTTAACTAACTGAACAATGTTCATTTTAATTAATGGTAAGTTAATCCCAAGAGTAGTGTTTTGATTTTTAATAGAAACTCCTTTGTGAATAAACATGACAATATCATTATTGGCCTTTGTCTTTTCTTTTTTTCTATGTTTTCCATTAATGTGATTTGTATCTTGGTGTGGGTGTGAACAGTGAACTGTGATGTACTTAAAAGCAGCTTCCCACATAGCAGTTTTTGCTTGGAGGCTGCTTTTATCTGGACTTGGAAAGAGGGTGGTACGTTTTCTAATTCTGAACAATTTTATCAATTAACAGACAACAACAACATACTTTTCATTCAAGCTGCACTTACTGAAATCATTGAACTAAGCCACAGCTATGTTCCAAATTAAATTACTTTCTTGGCTTTATTTCATTCAACATGCATCTCTTTTCATTCAGCATACTTTTTATAAATGGCATTATTGGTCAGTATTAAATCTTGTTGCTAGGTCAGAAATACACTACAGAGCATGGTTGTTCCTTGCTTGCATTTTGAGAATGCCTATTCCAAAAGCTTAAAGCAACACAGCCTGGCTCAGAAGAGAGTCCTAAAGAAAGAGGTTCCATGTAGTTAGAAACTTCTGATGGCCAGTAGTTGCCCCAGTGCAGCTGCTACATCCCCTTCCTGGGAGCTTTCTTAAAGCCCATTGACGGCCTGCAGGCTTGACCACTCTACACACAAGTTGGGTGCAAAATAGAATCACTGTCTCTCATGGCTCCTTCCTCTTGGCTGTTGCTTGAAGAAGCCTGGTGCCGCCAGATATAGATGTAGATAGATTTTTGAAGATGCCTTCTGTTGAATGCTTAAAGCCCTATGCAGCTGAGCCAGTCCAGGATTATGTGTGTTCAAATAAAGGCATTTATACCCCAGATTTTCCTGACAATATTGCAGGAATGTGGGGCACATTCTCCCTATATAGGAAGCTACTCTGTGAAGCTAAGCATGACTTTAAAAAACAGTTCTGCATTCCAAAGTAAAGACCCCTAAGCATGCTAAAGTCTCTGGTGTGATAATTTAATCATCTGCTTCTTGGTTTGTCATTCCTTAAATGGAGCCTACTGGTTACTGTAGGAAGCACTCCTGCCGCCCAATACTTTTCAGAGGTGAGGCAGGAGTGATGTTCGGGTGGGGGGCATTCCTCTTTCATTTTTATTCATGCCTAATGCTCTGTAGACCTTACGCACTGCTGTATACTGTGGAGGAGCATCGTGTACCAAAGAGACATGTTAATAATTCAATTAACTTCTTTGTGTATCTGAATTTGCATGTGTGCCACTTGGCATTAATGGCCTAGATGCATCAGTTCCGCATTTTATAAGGAAAACGAGTGAACATAGAAGGTGCCTGAAAGCATGAGTGTGCATAGGCCGATTACGGAGAAATGTCCTGCATGCATCAAATCCCGGTTTCAACTACTGCCATTATCTCCCTGAGAGATCTTGAACAGTAGGGCTGGCTAGAGCCTTACAAGAAGGCCTTAGCCAGTCCATCCCTGGCTAAGTCTCCAATCCTAGACCCCACTTACCAGGAAGTAAGCTCCCTTGAATGCAGTTAGATTTCTGAGTAGATGTGTAGAGGATTGCCTTGTTAATGGAGCATACTGAGCTGATCTACATGTTCCAGTTAGGCAAGCCAAATTAAAAAAGCATATTTTCCTTGGCTTTTAATACCACAGTATGTGCTGAAGGCCACTCACTAGCTTTAAGTAAAGGGTCAGACACCATCATGGAGAGTTGGTCTATTGACAGATGTTGGCCACAGCAGGTAAAGGGAACCTCCATGTTCAGATGCAGTCTAGCACAATCACAGAATGTGGGGAGAACAACATGAGAGGGCTGCTGCCTTCATACTGAACTTGTTAGTTCTTCACAGGCATTTAGCTGAGAGCGTTTACATCCTGGAGGGACCTCCTTGATCTGTGGCAGGTGGACTCTGATGGTCTTGGCCAATTTTGGCATGATGGGTAACCTTGCATCGTATTATTAACTGGCACTCTGATGGCTTTATTCCTTTCTTGCCACTTTTTTTATTTTGGGATGTTTGTTAACAGCACCCAATCTTCCAGTATGAGGAGTGGGCTAAATGCAACGTGATGGACTTGGTCATCGCAGCAACTGTTCAGTCCAATTGTAACAAATGCAGGCAAGCTTCATGAACCATGATGCTCTTAGAAAGCAGTATATTCTATGGTACTACCTTCCCCTCTTCCTCTCTTAAAATAAAAACAAGCAGGGGATAATTGATTCAAGTTATCTTGCATGCTCTGATGTGTGAAATAGGCTCTTTTTCAGTTATGGTGCTGATTTCCTATGCCTAATATTCCTGGTAGAAAACAAATTACTGCACTGTAGGCATAATCAGGAAGGTGATCAAGATGCACCCTTTGTGTATTTGTTCCCATATGAACCTGCTCATATATATCCTTAGATCTTTGAGATAGCCTTATTCCCTGGGCTGCCACCTTCGGCTACCACACTGAGTTTTTCCTGTTGTATCAAAGCTGTGCAATTCCTCCTTCAAGAGGCTCACTTGACTTGGTATTCTGTGTATTTTCTTGAAAAGTTAGTAAAGACTTCCCCCTCTCCAATACCTCTAGTGGTGCAATGTCTTAAAATTGTGCTGTTCTTTAATAGCTTTTATTGTTTTCTAATCTGGGTGGAATTATGGAGTTGCTACTTGATTTGGGATTGTGTTTTAGAGAAAGTTGGATAAGTAAAAGAAGCACAATTAACCACCATGTCATATTCTTCCATCTCAAGCTAGAAAGCATCAGGTTCAATCTAGTAATGCTGCATATAATTATCACTGCAGCTATACGCGATCTATTAACAATCTTTAACTTCATTGTTTTGTCAAAGTGAATAAAATTAATATATATGCAGATTGTCTATGGGCAATGCTATTGAGGCTGGTGAGCAGCATCTACAAGGTCATGAGAGGGTTTTGGGTTCTCAGATCCATGTCAGAAAAGGTTTCCAAACTTGGATTCCAAACCTCACCACTGACATGGAAAAAACTGGCTGCTTCTTTGAGGTTGTTAGAGTGGCTTCGGAGAAGGAGTTCAGGGGTCCTTCCAGTGGGAGGGGAGAAGCTTGTGCCACCTCGATACACCTTAGCCTGGCAGTACCTTGGCCTCCTTCCCTCCTGCTCCACCTTTAAAAGGCCAGTATCAACCGTTTAGCTGCTCTGCTCCTCCTGCCCTAAGGATGTTTGTAATCCTCCTGAGTTCAGAGGGTTACAGGCAGCCCCCCTGGACTGCCCCCTAATTGGATTTAGTTTGGCTGTGGGGCTTTTTCACCAGGATGGTGAAAAAAAACTTGGTGATGTTCCAACAGAAAATATCTAGGTTCCAAGAACAACTTGAGATGGCCCAAGGGCTTGGGCAGTCCAACTGAGATTCTTTACTTCACATTTCTCTCTCTTGAACAGACAACCTTCTTCACATCACAAACCCGTTTTGAAACTCTTCACTATCTCCTGTAGCTTCCCATGAGGGGAAGGAAGGAAGGGGGCTGTCCTTCAAATTCCCCACCACACCACCTTGGTCCACCGAGTAAGCTCCGCTGTTCGTGAGATCCCAGCATGTTGCATACTTCTCAGCTTTGGGATTTCCTCATGTGGATGAAGGTACATATTTTCTGGTGCCAAATAGAAGGGTGCTTCTGTATCCAGGCAGTCTGAATGCAGTGATATGTAAAAACTAAGGCCTGTTTCACACAGCATTCAGCCAGGTGGGAAGGGGTGCTGGAAATTGGTGTCCTGCACTAGTAGGAGGTTGGAACCAATGGCCTTCTTGGCCCCTCCCAACTCTACTATAATAGGTGCTTTTGAGATGGCTGCACACAGGAGATGACCATGATGTTCCTCTCCCATTACAGTTTCCCAGCAGCAACTAGTTCAGTGTCAGGCTGCCTTTGAATCTATTGGTGGGCCATGATGTGTAGCCATGGCTAGCTGCTTCCATGAATACATCTAATCCCCCTTTAAAGCTGCTTTGCGTGGTAGTCATCTTGATGCTCATTTAAGCCCTCCTTACCAATAAATACAGGTTGCATTCTGTGTGTCTAGTGCACTTTTCTGGAAGTTCCCTCTCTGGGTGGTCCAAACATGGGAAAGCGCAGCAGGACTACCAAAGGTCAAAGCTCATCCCATCAGTAGCAGCCCAGAAAAAGCAAGGTGACACCCATTGCAAGATAAAGTCTTTCAGCTTGAGGAAGACTGTGTGAGCTGGCTTGAAGACTTTTAGGAGATCCTGCCAACAAAGCAAAATAATGTTTGGAGAGGATAGAAGAGATATTAATCATAAGTGATTTTAAACAAAACCCCCATAACACTAAAGTTTGGAGTTTAAATAAAACTACAGTGGAAAACGGATTTTTTTCCTCCCTGAATCAATAAGGAGCTGAGGTTGTTAGTCTAATTATCCACCCTTTGTTTTACTTAATTAAGTCAATATATTAACCTGAGGGAATTATTGAGCTGACATGTATAATTTATGAAAATAGTGTGCAGTATTTCAGGAAAGAAAGAAGCCAGGGTGCCATACAGAATGCTTGTCACATGTTTGAACGCCACCAGCCATTATCACGGGGGGAGAGAGAGAACAGGAGTCGTTTGCATCCTTTCCATTAACACATTTGGCAGAAGGTGCTTCTGCCCAGAGCTTCACTTGGTGATAGAACTGAACCATTTACCCCAAAATGTCTGTAACGACTTCTGTGATCAGAACTTAGCTACCAGGAGAACATGGCATTCCAGTTCTCCCATAGAGAGAGCTAATGATGCATTCCCTGGTTAGACGTTTCGTGATGGCAAACATTCCCCAAATTGTTTATCTGCTGACCACAGATCTTCTCCTGACGGGCTTTGTATAGCTGACCAATTTTCCCAGGGATAAGGTTTTCCACTGACGGACATGTAGGGCTTTGCCCAAACTTGCCAGGAACACCAG